TGCCCGGGATGGGCGACAAGTTGGTGTACATCCACGAGAGTCTCAATTATTGCGAGGGCGACAAGCGGCGCCAGATCCCGAGCACTTCTGGGCGCCGGTGCTCGCGGGACTCCACCAAGGGCGACTCCTGCGACGTGCTTTGCTGCGGGCGAGGCTACAATACACAGGTACAGTAATGTACACTGATTTAATCGGAAACATTTAGGGAACCCGTCATTCGTCGCGGGGTTTTCTTGGAACTCGTTTCTGATTCCGGGATCCCACTTTTAAAACATATACAGTGAGACCCCCACATTCGGACACCTTGACATGCAGACAATTCAACACAGGGACACTTATTTTTTCATAAAAATTAATAAAAAGGCCCAATAACATGAGGACACTGACTCAACATAGGGACATTTTCTGATAAAATTGCAAAAAAGTTTCAGACGGAATTAAGTAACAGATATTTCCAACCCTAAAATTGATGAAAGAAAAGTTCTTGGGCATTTCTCTCACCAATTTACCATCCATTTTGCTAATTTTAAAAAAGTTACCTCCAGCATAGAGGGACTTCCTTCTCTCTTTTTCACTTGAATTTTATTTTTACAGAGAATGCCAACATTTCTATGTACTGTACAGAGGTATCAGCATTCAATTCCCCAAATGTCCATATTGTGTTGAAATATATTGATTGAATCAGTTTTTATTGGGAGACAATTTTAATTTTCATGGAATTATGGTGAGTATTTTGCGCATAAAACCCCAATTAAAATTATATAATGTAAGTCTAAGGAAAAATGAGACTTGACTTAGGGACATTTCAACTTAGGGACACTCTTGATGCACCAATTGCGTCCGCATCTCGGGGTCTCACTGTACACTGCGTTATACCTTAATTGTTCCCCCAAAAATGAGACCAAAACAAAAATAAAAACACTCACGTAGCGATTTTTTTTTCAAAAACAAACTGAAAACTGTTTTTATTTTTATTTTTGGGGATTCTGCCCAAAAAATAAACCAAGATAAACCTTGCTGAACAAAAATCGAGGCCAAAAATAATCCTTACATGACGATCGATGCTTGAAAAGTTCATCATGTCAACTAAAATGTTTTTCCTCTGCGATTTGAAAGTAACGTGTTTCCAGGATTCCGCCCAGAAAAAAATCGAGATAAACCTTTTTTCAACCCCGTCAAATTAAAAAAAAATGGTTCACTCAAAACGATCATCTGTTTTTGTAAATTCACCGAGTCGACAATTCAAGACAATTTCTCCTGGATGTTTTTTTCCAGTACAGTAACGGTTCAGGAATTTTGGCCAGAAAAAGCGAGGTAAACGTTTTTCTCGCAAAATGAAACCAAGTATGCTACTCGTATAATAATCAATTTTTTTTTATTTGAAGAAGTAAACTGACAATTGTTTCCTTCACATTATTTGCAGGTGATTCAACAGGTGGAAAAGTGCAACTGCAAATTCTTCTGGTGCTGTTCGGTCAAGTGTCAGCAGTGCGACAAGAAGATCGAGGTGCACACGTGCAAATGAACGAAGACGAAAACACAGCAAAAATACTTATACCCACCAGCAGAATGAAACCCTTCAAAAACCATCATAACGAGCCCCGGAATCTCAGGATTAATTAATGCAACGAAGGAAAAAGAAAACAAAGAAACATTCCCCCACGCAGAAAAAGACAAAAAAAAAAGCAAAGGGGAAGGACGATCGCGATGCCAAAGCAAAGAAAGAAAGAATCCGAAAGCAAATTCGAGCGAAAGAGCGAGTGTGCGTGAAAAAAAATGAATTTTAAAAAAAGAACCGGAACGAAGAAAGAAAGAGAAATGCGAAAAAAAACCTTCATCTGTCTCTTTCCCCCTTAAAACCCAAATATCTTGTTTTTTTCTAATTCGAACCTAAAAAAAAAAAGCTAATCTCGACCTATTTCTTCAATCACTCATTTTCTTCTGCATTTTGCATCTTGCTGCTGAATTTCCGAAGCATTTCAAACGTTTTTGTCTTCTGTGTTATTTTTTGTTTGTTTCTTTCATCTGGATGAATGTGGGACGGAACTGATTGATTAACTCGCGACGGCGAAGGATTTTAGAGTCATTTTTGTGATCTGAGATAACCATGATGCTAACGTTGAACAAAAATGTAAGAAGAAAGAAAAAATGAGAAGCAAACGTCATCTCGCGTCTTCGTTTGTTTTATTGCCTTGCTAATTCTTTTCCCAGTCCGCGAAAATAAGTTTCTTTTTTTCGCGCGATCAAGTGCTGTTTCCGGTTTTTTTTTTTTTATAGCGCTCTCTCGTTTAAAAATGAATGTACAAGTTGGAAGGAGCGAGACGAAAGAAGAGACAGAATCATGTTCTTGCTTTACTGCGCTTGCACGGGAAAAAAATATTGAATGGTTGTCGCATGGTTTCTTACCATTGTATTGATTTAAACGTGCGAGGAAAAAAAAACAAGAAAAATCGATGCCATGTTTGAAACTGAACGTGTTGTGGTTCATTTACGACTGCTGGGGCTGGGCTTAGTTTAATAGGTGTCTAATTATCCACTGGTTTCTTCAGAAAAACTACGCGGTTTTTGCGGTTTTCTGCCAGTTTAGTGAGTAACTTGACGTTTCTGCCTCGGACTTGAGTCAGATTCTTCGTAAACTTGGTAATGAATTTTATTTAGGAACGCATCCGCTTTTCAAAGAATTTTTATTTTCAGTACAACATTGATATCGACATTCACTGAGAATTTTGAGAGTAAACTGAAGATATCAAAAGACTCAACTCTGAAATTCAAGTGAATGAATGAATGAATGAACATAAAGCTTTATTTTCTGCTTTTCAGTATTCACAAGGTTCAATCAACATTCCCACATCCAAACCCCCTCATCCCCACCCAACACAAATCCATTCAAAGGCATTCAATCACTTCAGAATGGGAAACAGAGAAAATATCTGCACATGGAGAACAAAAATAAAAGAAAATACATTTCACAAAATACAACTACACAACTGATGTGTATGCGTACACCCCTTCTTTCCCTGACATTGAAAACAAAATGTCAGTAACAAGAATTGCAGCATAAGCCAAAATTAAAGCAAATTCAAGTTAATGTTCATTAATTTTACATATAGCATGTATTTATTGAACTTCAGGTCCATTAAGTTTCTCAGAATGACGCCTTTCAGTTGCAGATTTCCGTCATTATACGATACAAAAAACATTTTCATCAATTTTGCAATGATTGTAAACGTATCATGAAAATGTAGGCATCATCTTCAAGATTTGTCCTGTGAAACCCAGCAGTGAATATTTTTTTCTCAATCAAAAGTCTCCACTGAATATCACAATAATCATTCCAAGTACTGCACTATGTCTCGAGGTGGCGGTTATATTTTTATTTTTCCAATTCAAACTCGGTTTCTTATTTATTATATTGCCACAGAAATAGAGCAAAATGAAGCTACTGTGAATGACAGTCATTTCTCGGACGGAGCCACGATTGATTCCACGATTGCGAATGCGCCCAGAATTTCCCGAGAAAATCCAAATGATATAAATTACGTCCCCCATCTGTGTGAAGTTAGTCAGTAATTGTGTAGCGAGCCAGGTGGTCTTTCGTGGCGACTTAATTTATGCAAATTGTTGGGTGGGCAGTAAATACGGGCCCTGGTTTCCGTGACACCCGAGTATGGCATTGAACTTGAAGTGTCGGTTCGGATTCTCCAAATCGTCTCGGCGCCTCTCAAACCACGAGGCGCCAAATCGTTTCCAGGTGCTGGTTATGATGGAGGTTTTTTTTCTTCTGCATACATTGCCAAGTTTTATTTAAAAATCGCGTTACTGTCAAGGGAATTCCGCAATTAATATTTTTAAAATATACCAATTTTTCAGGTGGTCACAATAATGTGTGATTTTTCGGCATAAAATAGCAAAGTTTTATTTTTAAATCGCGTTACTATCAAGGGAATTCCGCGATTAATATTTTTAAAATATACCAATTATTCAGGTGGTCACAATAATGTGGGGTTCTTCGGCATAAAATTGCAAAGTTTTATTTTAAAATCGCGTTGCTGTCGAAGGGAATTCCGAAATCAATATTTAAATAACACTGTATACCAATTTTTTGAACTCAAAACATAAAAACGGTCTCCTTTTTTTACACGAAGCGAATGCGGTTTTATTGACTTAGACCAAAATTGACATGGAAATAACTATGAAATTAATCAAAAAAGGAATTGAATTTGAACTACAGTATAATGTTGACGCAGCATTGGAGTCGAAAAATATGATTTGATGAATCTAATCTGCTGATACAACCGAAAATCACAGACGGAAGAACTGACTGTAAATACGAGTGGAATGATTCAGAAAGAATCACGCATTTGAAAATTTGAAAATATTTTTATGAGAATGACTTATTAATGTGCATATCTCATTTTCAGGACATCGCTTATACATTTAGAAAAGTGGCTGAAAATAATTTTAGCCTTTTTCAATTTCTAGGCGACGAAGCATTCGAACTTTGATTTTAATTTCCAACTATGAAGGTTTATATTGAATAATTTGTGTGTTGGACGAGCAGTATACTTTTTTTTAGCAGAGCTTACATACGAGTACATATAACAAGGATTATTTTATACATATTAAATGAGCATAAATTTTCTTCATGACCTTAGTAAAAGTGTTAGCCAAATTTATTTTTGGCAAATCGACTATACCGAGCTTCAGTTTTTACCCTTCTTAACCGAGAGAATGATGATTTTTTTATTTTAGTCGACTTTGATTCAAATTAACTACTCCTTGAATAAAATAGTAAAAATTTCAAATCACTAATTGACATTAGATATATCTTTGTAGACGCAATAAAAACACGTAATATTAATTAGTTTTCGTGCTACGACGTTAATAGGCGTCAATAAATGACTAGCTCTTACTTTTGAGTGAAAAAAATAACTGTAGCAAAAATTATCTTCACCTTTGTCTTTGGAATATACGTACAAGGAGAAGTTTGAGCAACACCCGAACCAACCGCGACGGTTGCGTGCGTGAGAATTTCCATTGCGGGTTTCCTCCGAAGAATGGGGTCTCCTCGGCGGGTTCAGATGAAGGTGCCGCAGCCCGGGAATTTGGGATGCAGATCCCTGCCGGGTTGCAATTACCTCGGTCAACAGCTTCTCTCTGTGTCGTCATGGCGCCGGAAGAGGTGGTAATCAAAAAAAAGGAAACCTTAAACAAAAGAATTAAGCAATAAAGCCCAAAGTAAAATGGGCGATACGTTGCCGAATTATTCTACCCGTGTGTCTGTCTTGAAACTTATTTCGTGAGTAGTACTTATATTGATGAAAACACGTTTTGCTCCTGCATGGAAACTACTGGAAAATTCTAGTCTTCGTGGTTTGTGTTCAGACCTATTCCCTTTGTGTACGTGTTGCTGAAACAAAAAGGGCTTGGATTCTCAATAAAGCAAAAAAAATTGCGGGAATCGCCCACGAATTCGTAATTGACGAGCTGATGTTTGTGAATCATTGCCATTCCGTGGAATCATTGCTTGTTTGTCGAAAAATGGATATAAAATTCACTGCTTGTTGGACTCAACAACCATCTTTTCTACAAAAATTTTCTCGTCTGTACATCGCGTTTTTCTTCGTCACTTAGACCATAGGGTTCTTTCCCCATGTTATAGAGATTTCTCAACAACATTATAGCTTTTTTTAAATTCGTTCTTGACTTGAGGTTTCAAAGGATTGCCTGGAAAAATTACAAGTGGGCCCCTCCAAAACCAAAGTGAAGGGACCAACGAAAAAAAAATGTCTGAAGAGAGAATTGTTTTTCCCTCTACTACGAAATTTAATGGAGCAAAATATTCTTCGCAAAAGGATTTTTCGTTGTAAAGAGGGTTCACCTGTATTTTCTCCAGCAGGCAATAAATCCTATGAAACCTCAATTTATTGTTATTGCTGAAGAGGAAAAGATACCCAGTGGAATNACGTTGCCGAATTATTCTACCCGTGTGTCTGTCTTGAAACTTATTTCGTGAGTAGTACTTATATTGATGAAAACACGTTTTGCTCCTGCATGGAAACTACTGGAAAATTCTAGTCTTCGTGGTTTGTGTTCAGACCTATTCCCTTTGTGTACGTGTTGCTGAAACAAAAAGGGCTTGGATTCTCAATAAAGCAAAAAAAACTTGCGGGAATCCCCCACGAATTCTTAATTGACGAGCTGATGTTTGTGAATCATTGCCATTCCGTGGAATCATTGTTTGTTTGTCGAAAAATGGATATAAAATTCACTGCTGGTGGACTCAACAACCATCTTTTCTACAAAAATTTTCTCGTCTGTACATCGCGTTTTTCTTCGTCACTTAGACCATAGGGTTCTTTCCCCATGTTATAGAGATTTCTCAACAACATTATATCTTTTTAAAAATTCGTTCTTGACTTGAGGTTTCAAAGGATTGCCTGAAAAAATTACAAGTGGGCCCCCTACCAAAGTCAAGGGACCAACAAAAAAAATGTTTGTAGAGAGAATTGATTTTCTCACTATACTACGAAATTTAATGGAGCTAAATATTCTTCGCAAAAGGATTTTTCGTTGTAAAGAGGGTTCACCTGTATTTTCTCCAGCAGGCAATAAATCCTATGAAACCTCAATTTATTGTTATTGCTGAAGAGGAAAAGATACCCAGTGGAATCCCAGGAAATACGTGCGACAGGAGGACAAAATACCAAGCAGACCCTGACCGTGGGAATTCGCTAAAAGCATCTGCAGATATTCAGAAAATAAAAAAAGCCGCTCGAACCTTTGCTGCAAAACAAAACTTAACGGCACTTCCGCCGAAGAGAAAAAGAAAACTTCGCCAACTTTTCCTCCCAAAAAATATTGCGGTTCGCAAAATTGCCCAATATATCAAGAGGACCCCTCGTAGACCCACTCAGAGCCCCCCTACGGTGAGCTGCACAAAAGAGTGGGACGAAGGCGAAATGTGACAAGTGGGATGAAAACAGTTGCTTCTTTTCAAAGCTTAGCTCATGATTGATTGAGCTTATTTAGGCAGCGTATAAAAACCGGAGGGAAAATGAGCATCTTTTTACCAGCAACGACGCTTTTCTCAAGCTCAGTGGCGAGACGAAGTGGAGATTTATTGATTCTCAAGCACGCTCGGATAGCGGTTGGAATTTTTATCCCTTTTTTCCCCTTCAACACTTTAAGAAATAAATTAAAAATAACGCGAATACAGAAAAGTTATTTGGAAATAAATAAATAAATTTATGAAGAGTGCGCCAAAACTTAAAAAATTTCTCTCGGATGAAAAATTCAGCTTCAACGTTTTTCACCCATGTTCGATTTTCTCTTATAGTGTACAGTACTTCAATTATCTTCGTTTGGATATACCATACAAAAAAATTATTTTTAAACTAAGAACTTTAGATAGGCAGAATACGTTAGTTTGAGAATGCTGGGTATGATGCCAGGAAACGTCCATAAATTTTC